TTAGACTATAGCTGTAGCTCATATAGGGGTAGGTAGGGAGCATATAGGGATTATATAGGGGGGATACACAGAGCTACATAGGGGTTATGTAGGGATATAATTGTAGGGGCATATTACTCCAATAAGGGCTATGCAGGGGTAAAAAGGTCTCGGGATATAGGAATAATGGAAACTACTGTCTAGGGTTTGGGGATATCATCGAATATAAGGTAATGCAATAAAACCCCCTTGTAGGAGGCGGGTTTCGGTCAGAGCTTTGGCCTTCACCTGTTCAGTCCGAGGGTATACTGTCATGTGACCTGCTTGTGGGGGTATGGATGGAGTCTTGCTATTCCCCCTTATCCAGGAAAAGGTGGTGACTGAGTGAGAACTTGGGAAAGCAAGGTGCCGCACGGGTCGCGTTTTGGACTTAGTATCTGTAGCGGGATCTACGGAGAAGCGTGCTCACCAACATTGGCACACTGCCGGGCACAGCCCAACGCAGAGGCGACGTTGCTTGTTTGCCTTAGTGCCCTGATGGGGGACTGTCGCACAAAAGCCCTTGTCGCAAGAACTTCCTCGAGGATGGCACGCTGTCTTGCCCTATGCTGGCTCTGCTGATACAGGCCTGCCTAGTTGTTGTTCTTTGCGTCTGCGAGCAAACGCTCTTGCTTAATTGGGCCATCTGCTTAATAAAAATGGACACGAAATGGCACATGAAGAGAAACTGAGGTTATGCAGTGGTTTGTAGGGCTTAGGATTCCGCAGCCCCTGAGAGCTTCTCTGGGGATTTCAGAAATGTGGGAATAAGTCTGCAAGGGAAAAATATTCTGAGGATTTACCACGTTAAACAGGTTCTGCGAATGTCCCAAACGGCAAGAAGCTCTAGGAGTGCCGTGCCCTTCTTAAAGGATTGTTTGGTTCGCGCGACGTTTAAGCTCCACGGGCTTAAAGTTGATAAAGGAACTTTGCCAGGGTTTGCATGTTTCAGATAGCTTCAAAGGATTTGCTCAATTTCAGGACTTTGAAGGCTTGAGCATACTTCTAGAAGTTCTATGACATTCTCTATCGGGATACGGGAGGCTTTGCAAAAACATCCCTAAACCCTAAACCCTAAACCCTAACATCGAAACACTGACACAAGAGCGGACACAGCTCCACTAGCATTGTTGAAGCCTCTCCCAAGATGGTCATAATCTGGGTTGCTGTTCAGGAACTTAAAGGGATAATGGAAAAGAAAATGGAAACTATAGGGATTATAGGGTTTATATAGGGGATATATAGGGTACATATTGGTATAATGGAAAAGAAAATGGAAACTACTAGAATGGGGTTATATAGGGTTCAGGGCTTAGGGTTTAAGTTACCATACTGGCCTATAATGGAGAAACAAATGGAAAATAAAATGGAAAATGAAATGGAAACTGGGGGAATACAGGGATTTAAGGAACTTAAATTCGCCGAGGCTGTCCAGCCTCAGGGCGTTCAGATCCCTTTAAAAACCCCCTCTACTCCGCCT